CAGCGACAGTGACCTCCCCCAATCCTCCTACAGGCAGACAGCAGAGGCTGGGCAATGGGTAGCATGGTACCCATGGCCTATGCTTAGCAACAAGGCAGTGAGAAGCTAAGCCAGCAAAGGCGTCGGGCTCCTCCAGGTTTGTCTTCAACCCTTCCCCCCTAAACATTTCCCCACTCTTCTATCCTTTACCACCACCACTCTCCAGCCCATAACAACCAGAACCCAAGAGCCTCACAGTTCCAGCAGCCCAAGTTTAGCATCTCTTGGGTGGCAACTCTCTCCCTCCCCACCACCAGCATCCCTTTGCATTTTCTTTTATCACATCAAAAACGATTAATCTGTATCTTACTTTCCAGGACTCTTCGCAAAATGTCATAGCTAAATTGTTGATAAACAAACCTTGGCTGTGTTATCAATTTAACTGGCCGTATTCCCAAGGATAACTACATGGAAAATAAGGAATTTAACAGTGTTTCACTGTGTGGAAATGGTAGGTGTTTTGAAGGTTTCAGATTTGCTTAAAGCTTCTAGGGAAGCAGATATTTTGGTCAGAGACAGGGTCCCCCTGACTCTAGGATAGAGGTCAAGTACGTCAAGCACACATCCTCTGCCCAAACGCTAACCTTCCCGAGGTTCAAGAACACAGACATGTGTCAAAGAAAGGCCATGGCTGTGGGTGTGGATGTGTGCACCTGAGTGTGGGTTCTTGTCCACGCATGTCTCTGCGCAGGTTCATGTACATGGATGTGAGTGCATGTTTGTGCATGCGTACATGTGGGTGTTGGGAAGGCAGGGACCTCCAACTGGCAACCACTCCAGTCTGTTTCTGAGCTGCAAAAATGACAGCTGTTTGATTTTCACAGTTAATTAACCTGAGGAATGCACTGTGTTAGAGTGTTATTAAGGCAACTGAGTAATTAAGATCCCCCCCCCCAAAAAAAAACAAAGTGATGTGGGGAGTGGAGATAAATAAAGCATTTTGGAGAGCACACTTGACACTGGAGGAGCTACTGTCGGGAGCAGAAACCAGAGCTGGATGTCGCTCAGACACAGCCCTGGTTCTTGAGGAGTGTGCACCAGCCCCGTGGACAGAGGGCACTGCCCAGGACACTCGCACTTGTGCATGACAGACTACTGCAGACCCCAGGGTCACCACACAGCCCAGCTGCCTCTGAGGAGCTGAACACGTGATAAAGGCTGACAAACCAAACTCCTTCCCTTCATTAGTATGGAGACAGCGGTAGAGAGAGGAGCCATGGCCTTCCCAAAGGTCTCACCCCTATTTAGAGATCCAAACCCAGACCAGAACTAGAGTCTTCGCTTCACTGGCACAACTAACTCCCCATCTGGCTAACATCAGAGGGTTCTCCGGCAGCCCTCTGGCAGAAAAATGGGCAGCCAGCACCTTCACCTTCGCGGGATGAAGGGGGCTGGCCTCAGGGATGGATGAATTTCAGCAAGGAATGTGAGTGTGCTTCCCGGAGGGAAGCAATGGTAGGGAGTGTGGGTCCCAGGCAAGGCATCCTCTGGCCACAGGCACAAGCACCAGGGGGCAGAATGAGCGAAGGGGCCAGGCAGAGCATTCAGCCCCTAACCTGCACTGTGCCCCGGCCCCTCTGCACACTTCTGCATACAACACTCACCACTCCCCTTCAAGCGGGTGCTGTCATTACTCTCGTTTTTCCAGAGACTCAGGCACAGAACAGAAGTGAATGAGAGTCACACCTTCAGATTAAAGAAATAATGGTGCAATGGGCTTGCCCAGAAATTAGGCAGCGGCTGGAAGAAATAAAATTAGGGGATGGGCTGGGAGTGCAGCCCCAAGCCATTCTGGTAAAGACCTGCTCAGGCCCAAAGCCAGACAGTTCAGTGAGAGGCTGCAGGGCCAAGTAAAGGACTCAGCAAAGCTGGCTACATCGAGGTCCACTCCCAGGACTGCAGCAGGAACCCACAGTCCACCAAAGGAAGCCCTTGAGGTTGATAGGATTTAGCTGATAATCAGAATTGGGTATATGAGGTACATGGATTGTCTGAGACCAGCCCGCATGAAAGAAGACACACTCAGGGCTGAAGAGTTGGGACAGTTGGGGAACAACTCCTACAGTTGCCATACACTGAGTTTTCCCTGTGCTCATCAGCTGGGTTAGGGGTAGGAGGTGGGAAGAGTTCGGCAGCTATAACCAAAGGTCACACCTCCCCACTGCCCTGATGCTCAGGTTATGGCAGTAGGTAGGCAGCAGGTGCTGAGGGACTTTGCACTGGGCTCAGGGCCTGCCATAACACCTCTTCATAGGAATAGAAGAAAGGCCTAGTCTTCAGCAAGGTGTATCTGCTGGTGGGAGCTGGCAGAGAGGGGATGAAGGTATAGTCACTAGGAAGGTGGCTCTGCATCATGGTCCCCTCATTTCCAGCTGCGACTGTCCAGGATGCCCCTCTATTTCTAACCCCTCCCATTCAGAACATGCAACACCTGTGTGCTGCAGTCAGAAGCTTGGGATCCAGAATGCTCCCAAATACTCCTGATACCGCAAGGGGATTATAACCACTTCGTGCAGTGCTACAAAAATTAATTGAGGTAATTTATGAAAAACATTTACTATGATGTCTTGAACACATAATACACAGCATCATCTCATAATAAATTAGGAGCTAAAAGTGGGGACCGCCACTGCAACACAACAAATTAAACCATCACCTGCCGTGCTGGCATCCCATATAGGCACTGGTTCAAGTCCAGCTGCTCCACTTCTGATCCAGCTCCCAGTTAATGTAGCTGGGAAAGCAGTGGAGGATAGCATGGGAACTTGGACCTCTGCAGTCTCTGGCTTCTGCCTGGCCCAGTTCCAGCTCTTGCAGCCACTTTGGGAAGTGAACCAACACATAGAATCTCTCTCTCTCTCTCTCTCCCTCCCTCTCTCTTTCCCTCCTCCCCCCAACTCTGCCTTTCAAGTAAATAAAATAAATGTTAAAAAAAAACACCTGAAAGTAGAACTCAATCGAGTTAAAATCTGAATTCCTAAATTATCACCCAGCCACATGGGTGTACCTGAAGAAGGTTCAAGGACTAGCAGGCATTGTGTGCCTGCAGGTGCATGTCCTCGGAGCTGGAACAATGGGTACCAAGAAGGCACAGTGTGGAAAAGCAGAAGGGAAGAGAAAGAAGAGAGGCAGAGGGCAGAGCATGATGCTGGTGGTCAGTCATCAGCTTATCCTCAAAGAGGAGCAAAGGGGGTGCCCTAAAGACCACCTCACCTAATTCTCACTGAGGGAAGAGTAGGCACCATCTCCTGTGCAATGGACTGGCAGACCTGGGACCACCCATCCTTTACTCCTTCTAAGAAGCCACATGGACTTATTTCCCTTTACAGAAAAAGCCAGTGTTCTCAGAGAACAAAAATAGCTGAGGTATATCCATCCCCAGGGTTGCAAAAGTCTAGACTTCTCTTTTGCAAGTACCTCATTTTGCTCTCATGGGGTTATTTAGGAGCTGGAAGTCGACTCACTGGGCAGCTGAAAGAGGCAGAGGGCAGGCCATGGAGAAGCCAAACACCCAGGCCTAGAGGGACAGAAGTATCCAGACAGGCCTGGGAGCAAGGGCCTAAGCTTGCTCCTCCTTGCTGAAGGTGAGTCAAACAGGATTTGGCATCAGTGGCATCAGACTCCCTGAGCTCTTAGGTCTGAGATTCTGTGGCAAAATGACGTGGGGAGAATGTGTGGAGAGGGAGCAGTTGGGCCCACTCTGTTACCTAGAAGCTCAATAGTGCCAGTCCCCTGGTGCCTGTGCAGTAATCTGGGCCCACAGCGGGCCCTCATCTTACCCAATGCTGTCAAATGGGTCTCCCACATCCAAGTGGGTGAGATGAAGCACCCACAGCCCTCCCCTGCTCGCTATCTCCAAACTCACCTCCTAGCACCATCCAGCTATGACGAAGAGTAGCCAAGGGCACCCAGGCCCACCACCCAGCATCCTGGGGACAAAGCAGCCTGGAACGTGGAAGCCACTGGTCACCCCTGTCTCCACCACGACCATATGGCTACTCTGTCCCTCTCCTTCCTTCTCTCCCCAACCCTCTTTGTTTCCCCAAAAGCCACAGACAGAGACCACTCCTCATCCATCTCCTGGTGCAAATCTGCGTTTTGAAGGCAGACAGATGGCAAATGAGATGCTGGAGACACAAGAAGGTGCGGAAGGATTGGATTTCCACTCCAGCAGATGTGAGGAGACCCCAGCTTGTTGAGGAGAAAAGGGAAGAAAGCCATAACTCCTGCCAAACAGGCCTAGAGGCAGTGGGCAAGGTCTGCAAGAGGGCCGGTTGCCCAGCAGGCAGTGGGAACAGGCAGTGTTCAGTTCTGACCTGAGTACTAAGAGGGTCTCTACCCTGCTTGAGAACCTCAGAGCACTCGCTCATGCATCTCCCTGATCCGGGTCCTTTGACAAAGCTGAGTGTTTTCCACCTGGTCCGGTCAGTGAGATATGTGGATCCTTAAGGTTGTAAGAGGAGGAAGCTCACTGGTTACACATGATGGACGCCAAACATAGAAAGTATACTTAAGGCTATTGTCACATATTCTCCTGCCAGCCCTGCCCCGCCACACTCTGACCCTGGTCAAAAAGACAGTGGCAAAAAATCATGTTACAACCACGCCAGCTGCCTCCCCCACAACATCCTAGTTCCCATGCATACCCATGGCCTTGGCTTATCCATCAATGATGGCACATGGGGTGCTATACCAAAGTTTATCTACTTATTTCCAAGACCTGAAACACTATCCTACCCTTGCTCAAGAGCTAAAGACAACAACAACAAAATAAAGAAAACTCCAGTTTCATCCAGCAGAAAAGAGTCACAAGTTCATTTTGAATACATTTTCTCTTGCCCAACCAACATGAGGTACAACAGGGCTTGGCTTACATTGAAGATACCCTATTATATTCAGTGAACAAATTATAGTGCATCTGCCCCATTCCACCCCACCTTCCTCCACAAAACAGGGCCTACCTCGCCATATTGGGTGCAGTAAGTCTCAGGCTTGGTTAGTCCACAGGTGGATGAAGCTCGGAGAAACCGGGTTCTGCCAATGAGCAGGTCCCCAACAGGAGGATAGCAGGCCCCACGGGAGCAGGCTTGCTGGGCACACAGGAGGCCAGGCAAAGCTGAAAGCACAGGAAGGTTATGAGATGCTGCTGGCATGAGGAGGACCACCTGGCAGGCCACCCCAGTATCCCCTGGGGTTGCTGATATTGGCAAGGCCAGATGCTCCACCTCACTCATGCTCCTAGTTCCTGCCTATGGCAAGGGTAACATTCCTGATACCATTAGATTTTTGAAAGACTGATTTCATCCACTATCATCTCAGTCTTGACAAGGACAAAGACTGGCAACCAGAGACCATAAGTGATCCTTAAGTGTAGCCTTTATATGGGGTTTTTGAGATCAAGTCAGATACACACACACACACTGGACCAGCAGGGCATGGTCCACAGCTCTTTTCAACAAGCTGACTGCAAGCAATGGCTGGACCACAGAGGGAGGTCTGTATTCTTTCCTCTCCTTTATCTGCAAAGGGATACAGTCATGCTCCAGCAGTGCCCAGCTATAATTCCCTGAAAACCCCAGAGTGCCAGCCAAGATAAATCTGGAGCTGGCTTCAGACTGCAAGGATGGAAGGTAAGCAGGTCAGAGAGCTCCCTTGGGTGAGAATAAGAAGGCACCCAAGAGCCTGTCAGGGAAGGAAGACAGTTCTCCCAAAGATACAGAGGAGTGGGGTCAGTGCTCCCACTCCCAGGCAAGAGATGACAAAGAGGCTTACACAGGGCAAACTTTCCTCCTCTCCAGGTGGCTGCCACCTCCACACTATGCAACAGGGTCCAGGGCGTTTGGAAGGAACACTTACCCAAACAGAGGAGAAGCAGTGGTCTCATCTTCAGCCAGTGGGTGGTTCCCAGAGAGGGCCTGATCTGGGGCAGAATATGACAGCCTGGGTAAAGCCATAGGAACCCAACAGCACACCAACCCCGTAGCCTCTGTCTCAGGACTATGAGCTCTCAGAGGTCTGTACCCAGGGGGTTGATGCTATAGGATATTTTTGAGCAGCAGGTCCATTTGTAGCCAAGAGTTTAGAAAGTGCCAGAGAGCCCTGGCCTCCTGGCCCAGCTGGCATGTGACTTCCTGAGGTGCCCCACCACCACCAAAATCCCATCCCCTTGCAGTGGATGAGGTTAGACCCTGCCCTGCCCCACAGGGACTGGCAGACCATGCAGGCACAGCAAAAAGCTGGGCTGGGCAGGAGGGTGCCAAGGCCTTGTTCCTGACTCAAGCAAGAGGCCTGGCCTTTTTCAGGACTTGCATGTAAACGGCCTACAGGACCACAGCAAGGGGGTCGAAGAGGGTGAAGGCCCGGAGGGGGTCTTCCCCAGCCATGGTTAGCATGGGCTCCAGTCCCGCAGGGGGGCGTATGTCACTCTGCAGCAGCCATAGCAAGTGGCTGAGATGCTGTGAGAACAGAGGCAGGTCTGGCAGTTTTTGAAAGGTGAGTGAGGATTTCAAGGAAACTGAAGGCAATCCAAAACATCTCCAGTTATGGGCCGGACTCAACATGAAGGAGGAGCCCGGCACTGCACACAGCAAGGATCCTGAGGGAGGCTGTGGGGGGCTCCTGGAAAGCCAGGGTGGGGCCTGAGGCAACCGGCCTCAACCTCACTCCCACAGGGCCTGTCAGGACACCCTGATAGCCTTGCACTCCTTTGTCCGTATACAAGGCAGGAACTGGGTGGGGGAAACCTGTGGTCACCTGAGCCCTTTCAGAGCAGAGCCTGATGCCCCAGAGCTGTGCCTCTCCATCATCTCCCAGAAAAGCCAGGGTCCGTGGCAGGAAGTTTCCCCTGCCCTGTCCCCCATGGAAAGGAGCCACTCTGAGCCAGCTCCCCCACTTCAATTCCCCAACCACCCTCTCCACTTCTCCTTTGTGCTCCCTCCAGATCTCAACCTGCTTTCTTCTAAGTCTCTGAGACACCTGTCAGGGTGGAAAAGCAATCCCAACAGCAGCAGATACACTCACCTGGCTGGCCTTCTTCGGGACTGGGAAGGCATGAGACCCAGGTCCCAGGCACCCACAGAAGAGGACCTGTCTCTCTCCCCCGACCCCAACCAGCCCCTACTGCGCAGGGGAAAGCATGGACTGTACCTGGCTCCTGTGCTACAGCGTTGTTCACTCCAGAGGGCCTCTCTTGGGAGCGCCCCTTGAAGGTGGGGGGTCCCCTCTCCCGACTTCTGGTTTTTAAACAACAGCCTCACCTCTGGAGACTCCCCGGCTGGGCGTAGCCCACAGCAGGCAGGGCGGACCGCAGGAATCTGGCACGCCCCAGCTGTCGTCACCGCACCCCCGCCTCCCCGAGATTGAGACTGGGTAAGTGGGTTGGTCCCTGAGACCTCGTAGCCCGCTCCACTGGTGCCCACCTGCCTGTGGGCACTGGAGGGAGAGGCACCACCCACAGCAAGCACTGGGCAGCTGTGAGTGACCCTGAGAGGCCAAAACTCCTGGTAGGGGGTCCCTCATGGGTGCCAGGCACTTTGCCCAGACAGAGGAATCAACTTCCTCTTGTGCTCTAGGCTCCCAAGGACAAAAGACCAGATCAGAGTTTGTGGGAAAATGTTTAAAAAAAAAAAAAAAAAAAAAAAGACAAATGATTACACTAGAAGACTCCAGCATCCAGGACCCTGGAAAGCACCAGACCCATCCTATGTGGGGGAAAACAGTGGAAAATCCTGGCTTCTTGGGAAATTTGGAGGCTTCTTAAAAGGCTACAGGTCATCAGGAAGGAGCTGAAGCTTAGCTCATCCCAGGCGAGCTTAAAAGGAAAGAACAGGGGAGCTGGAGGCAAACGCATTCCTGGGCTCACTCAGCAAGCGCAAGGGGTTGGCAGGGAGCCCTGCGACAGGTAACTGCCTGTGACTCACTGCCCCCAGCTCCAGCAGCGCTGGTCTCCTGGCCCCTCCCTCCCGGGTCAGGAATGCCCGCCTGGAGGGCCAGAAATCAGACCTGACCACAAGTGGTGGAAACAAAGGCTGAGATAGGGCAGGACTAATGCAGTCAGAGCAGACTGCACCTGGCCGGCTGCCAGGCCCCACCCTGGATAGAGCTTCCCTTGTGGGACCCATAGCGGTTCTTGAACTGGGGCTTCAGGCCACTGCATATAGTCCTCACAGGTCCAGATGGAATGACTGTATGCATAGGATACTCTTCCCCACCAGATTAGGACTCAGGGCAAGGGGAAGGGCTCCCAGCCCAGACCTTGACCTCGCAGCACCTGCACTGGCATCACTGTGGAATGTTAGTGCCGCCCATATGCCTTTTATAAGGAACTCACAGCTTAGCCATTCCAGTCCGTCAGCATCTCCTAAGCAGAAACTCCTCAGGGCTGCAGGGTTATGTCCAAAACATTGGCTTGAGGACCCTTAAGGGAACAATAACCAGAGATGAAAATGCATTTCCACCCCTCAGGTTCTAATTCAGCCCTGGGACGGGTGGTGAGAGAGAGACTGTAATTAGCCAATGGGCAGTTAGTTGCTGTGCTGTATAACTGCTACTCCAACAGTCAGTGTCTTGTCTCCTGTCAGCGATCTAGTGAAGTCTGGCTGAACTCAGCAGGTCAGGACAGCACACGTAGCTGCCCACAATCGTCTCCTCCTGTATGACACAGAGCAAGCCCCACTGAGTCCCCTTCAGAAGGCCCTTCAGACCCCCTGCAACATAAGTCCTCCTATCTTGTGGGCTCATGCTCTCTCTCTCTCTACTTCCCCAGCACCCTGAACTCCAGGTGTCCAGGAAATACCCTCTGCCTAGCCCCAGAGGATGTGACCAAGAGCTCGGTAATCATTAACTCAGCAGAAAGAAGGTGGTGAGGCAAGCCCAGGTCCTCAGTGGAAACAAAGGAGGCAGTGCAAGCAGGTGGAGTGGCTGGGCCCTTTAAGGCTCCCCTCCCCCTTTCTGAGCCCAGGTAAGCAAGCACTTGCAGTCTCAGACCTAACAGGCTTGGGCAGGTCCTAGGACTGGCTTGGCTTACAGCAGGGAAATGTGGATTGCTCTGCTCAGGGCCCCTCCCACAAACTTCCCAACCAAGCTCAGGAAACTGCCTATGCAGACCCCAAGGGCAGCCCCATTAGCCTCACTCTTCCCTGATTGTCCCCCAGTGGGAATCCAGGGGCTTTATAAGTTCAAGTCCTATGCTTAGAGACCACCAGCCTGTAAGAGAGGCCAAGGCTGGGTTAGGGTCTGGTCAGAGCTGCAGGGTGGCATGCACCTGTGAGTCTCCTCTGGGCACGTGTGTTCTCTCCCTGCCACCGGCTCCTGTGTCAGAGCCCTCGCCTCCCCCTCTCCCCTGAGATGGCTCAGAAATAGTGCCAGGGAAGACATCCTCCAGCTCTGGGTCTCCCTCGCTCATGTTAACGCACCCGCAAATTCAATCTACTGCCCCTTCCAAAAGTAAACAGGATCTACTCCCACCTTCCTAGCCCTAGCCTCTCCTGGGATGTTCGCAGCAGCCTACAAGAAAGAAAATCCCCATACTCTGGGTCATGTGACTCTGCAGGTCAGAGGCCTGCACAAGCTCCCCCCACCCCCACCCCACCCTCAGGACCCAGGAAGTCTATGAGGGTCTGCAGGAAAAGCAGCAAGCTGGTGACTGCATTACCTTTCTGTGGTCACTGCCCCCTGTGGCCCTCCTGGCCTGTGCTCTGGCCACGCAGCCTCCGTAAGGGGTCTCCACATTGCCAGCCTGCTGCTGCCTGGGTTGCAGCTGCTCCCATCGCCCGAAGCCCTCTCCTTCTGCACATGTGCATATCTCTCTTACCTTTTGCCAATTTGCATGCATATCCTGACCTCCCCACCACCCCTCTGGAAACCACCACCAACTCCCCCGCCCCACCTACCCCATGCGATTGGTAGCATGTTATTTGCATTCTTTGGCAGCACTCAATATCTCCTATCCAGCTACAGTATTTGCCTATCCTGTGTATTTTGGTCTGGAATGTGATGTCCAAGAGGGTGAAGCTTCCTGTCTAATTTTTAGAGTCCCCGGCAAACAGTAGGTGCTGGCCATTTGTGGGCTGAACTGGTTCATGCAGCAGTTGTCTGCCACTGGTTTGGTTTAAGGTACTCTCTTGCCTTTGATGTATGCTTGCATTCTCAGAGGGAATGGTCCAGGCTTTGGATCACCAGCTTGCGACAGTGTGAGAGTGCTTCTTAGAGGTGACCACCCCCAGATTACATCAATGTCACCCTCTTGGTACATGCAATATCCTCCTTTGCCTGCATATCAGTGGTTCCTGGCAATGTCTCTGAAAGGTTGTGGGGGTGGCATTAGAAGCCACTGTCCCTAGTATCCATCTGTCAGGTTCCAACTGTCCAAGTTGCTAGGGAGATTGGCCAGGATTTGTCAAATAAGAAGTAACAAGAGAGGGTGCATGGAGGGAGGAAAGGAAGAGGAACAGGAGAGAAGATAAGAGCCCCTGGTCCTGGCTGGGACTTGCAGGTGTTGGAGGCAGGGCTGTCGGGTGAGTAAGGCTCAGACTTCACCGGAACAACCGTGAGTCATGGCTGAGTCCTGCTCTGCGGGACAGGGTGGACTCCTGCACTGGTCCTGGGCACTGGTCCTGTGACTAACCTGGTGTGGTCCTGTGCTCCAGTATGACCACTCAGCTGTCTAGACAACGGGATTCTCTTCTATGAATCGCCCCAAAACCCAGTAAGAAAGTGGGCCTTGTGTGTTAACAAGGCTCAGATAGGAGGCAGGGGCTGTCAACAAGCAGGAACACAGCCTGGCACAAAGTGACTCAATTCCATGCCCTTCCAGCTTCCTGCCTCCCCCTAGCCCCCAGCTGTACTAACCTACCCAACCTGAATGCTCCCCCAACAAACATCCAT